ATATATATATATATATATATATATATATATATATATATATATATATATATATATATATATATATATATATATATATATGGGGTTATTTATGCATATTACTGTTGGTGAACATAATTATGCAAAGCAATTATAAAAGCAACATCATTATAAACAGACACTGATATTAAAATTCTCATTTATTAAGCCTAATGATCACAATAAACACTTGTTGAGTGCAGTAATAGAGTTCATTAGCTCAACTGTAGACAGTTTGCGGTTGCCAGGCAACATGACAGATGAATAAAGCTTCTCATGTGCTGCTCGGTCACAGGTTTTGTCCTCTGCTCTGCACACTCATTTATTTATTTTTCCCCTGTGTTTCTCCTCAGCGCACCTGTACAAGTGTTTCGCCATGCGGGACAGCTGTGGGATGTGTCTGAAAGCAGACCCGCGCTTTGACTGCGGCTGGTGTGTTCAGGAGAAGAAGTGCTCGCTCAGACAGGAATGTGCTCCTCCAGAGAGCAGCTGGATGAACCCCAGCGCGGGAAACAGTCGCTGCGCTCACCCTAAAATCAACAAGGTAACACTCGCTCCCGCTCTGACACAGACCAGTTATCACATTCACTATTTACAAGACTGTCAAACACACACATACACACACTTTTATCTTGGGTAAGCTTTTAACAGGTGTTGTTTGTGCAGAGTGGAGTTTCTTTGTGTCTTGTTTTCAGGGAAGTGTGGATGTGGGGTTCTTTGGATTGGAATTGTTTACATGTATAGGTTTTGATTAATGCTTGTTTTTTGGGTATCATCAGTGTGAAGGACCCTTAAGGGTTTTTGTTGTTGTTTTTGTTTGTTTTTTCCTTGATGCATCAGTATTCGGTTATATAAAATAGTGATTGAACCTAAAGGTATTTTCCACATTTAGAATTTGACCACATTAGTGATTTATGATCAAAAAATAATGCCCCCTAAAAAGACTATAATGAAAAACAAAATAATTATAATAGCATATAATAATAACAAAGAAAGCAAATTAATAAGTAAATGAAAACTTGCAAGTTAATATATATATATATATATATATATATAT